TTTCCCTTAGAAAATTGTAAGTTTTTTGCTTTTTTATTTAACTCTACCTTGTTGCTTACAATTAAAATAATTTTTTTATTGAGGTATAATTTACATAAAATATAATGTACCTATATTAATTATACAGTTTGCATTTCAACAAATGTAATAACCACCACCACAATTAAAATATAGAACATTTTCATCACTCCAAAAAGCTCCCCTATGTCCCTTTGCAGTTAATCCCTCCCAGTATATTGCCTCTGGCCCCAGACAACCACTGATATGCTTTCTGTCTCCATAGATTAGTTCCCATTATTGTAGAAGTTACTGTAAATGTGATTATACAGTAGGTATTTCTTTGCGTTTTTCTTCTTTTGTTCTCTGCTGACATTTTTAATAACTTTTATATGTAAAATCTTAATAGGCCGATCTTCAGAATGGTCTAAACAAATGTGAAGTAAGTCATAGGAGAGCCTTCCATGGCTGGAATGAGTTTGATATCAGTGAAGATGAGCCACTATGGAAGAAGTATATTTCTCAGGTGAGATATTTTTATTTCCTCCTCTGCTGTGTAATTTATCTGTATTTTTGTTAGTGTGATTGTTTACTTTTGTGAAGTTATTTATGGGGAAAGGAAATAAATATTAAAAAATTTTTTTAACCTAAAATTTTCACTTTGTTAGGGTTTACTGTTAGGTTGGAATTTCTATAATTTTTAGTATGCAAATCTTTAAGGGCTTATGTCACATGGAGGTGATACTGTTAGCAGTAGTTTCCTATGCAGTTGTATAATTTATACTTTTTTTTTTTATTACAGGAATGCTAATATTTTTAAAAGTAATATGGCCTGCTTTGAAAATTAGTAAAGTAAGTTAGGTAATTTGAATCCAGACTGCCTGGGCACATATTCCACCTTTATTTCTACTAGCTATATGATCTTTATTATCCTCTGAACCTTTATTAAAGTGGGGACAGCAATTAGGAAATAATAAGCTATCAATAGACGATGGCTATTTTAAATTTATTTTATTAGTATTCTAATTCTTTCAGAGAGACTTATTGTAGGATTTTAAAAAAATCTTCATAACAAGTATGTTAATGTGAAAAGTTATAAGAATCTTACGGCTAATTTTCAACTAGTAGGGTTAGTTTGCCAAACAAATCCCTTTTAGTAATCTGTGGGGTTTTTTTAAAAGATCTATGTTTTACTTTTCTGATAGGCCTTCCCTGTTAATAAGCCCAACTTTACCAGTATTATCTTTGCAAATGAATTGGTCTAAAGAGAAAAACTGAATTTTTAGAGATGAAAAGAACCTTGTGTGAATCTGTCATGTTGTTACGGAGTATTTTTATGTGCATGTTTGTATTCTGACATTTACCACATTTCTGTATTACCTAGGCCTTCAGGAAGTTTACTCTGGATTTATAAATTACAATGATTTGACTTATCCCTAGGCCAGTATGATTTAATGTTTTATTTTCTTGATCCTGTTTCATAGCAAGAATACCTGCATCATAGGATTGCTGTGAGAATGAAATAAAACAGTGCCATTAATGTAGTTAAGCACAGGCAACAACTAATAGTAAATATCAGTTGTCGATCATAAAGCATTAGGTGACTCTTTACTCCTTCACAGAGAATACGAATTTATTGTTTTGCAAACATTTGTCAGAAGTCAAATCTTTGGTATAGTGGCACAGCTTTTTTTGGGGGGGGCGGTGGAATAAAAAAGACCATGGGCTTTGCCCTCAAAATGTGATGAGAATAGTAACATTTAAAGAGGGTTTTATGGTTTACACAGTTAATGCCTCTCACAATCTTTGGTATAAGATACTGTTTTACTAGGTGAAGATCCCTCTCCCCTCCGTGGGGCTTAAAAAGATTAAGGTCCCAAGTGGCATGAGCTGGATTCAAACCCATACTCCGACTTAGTCAAGTGTGTGGTTTGTCACCCCTGAATCACATTGCAGTTGTAGTTTTATTTTGCGAGAGCAGCGATTTTCAGTTCTCTCTGCATTAAAGTTACTTGGGGAATGCTGTAAAAATGCTAAAGCCTGTGTCCTGTGCCCAGAACTTCTGATTTAATTGGTCTGGTGTGAACTTGGGCATTTGTTAGAGGTTCTTCATGTGATTCTGATATGAAACTGGGTTGGAACCACTGCTAGAGAATGAAGCTATAAGGGAGAGGGAAGTGGTGGCATTTCACCTTAGAGCTGTGGTGTCCAGGGACTGGGGGGGGTCTCTTCTAGGATGGATTTTTGTATGTAGCCTAGCTACGTTCCAGTTTAGACAGTGATTGGCACCACTTCATCAGAGGAAGAGATTCTGACAACAGAGCTCTGATGTTTAAGTAGGAGGATGTCCCACTGGAAAAATTTGGGATGGGTCTGGTGCTTGATCATTTAAGTTCTGCCTGATTAGGTTGGTTCTGTGGTCTTGTTTTTTAATATACTATTGGCTCTACTATATGGAAAACCTTGGGAAAAGGCTGCTTCTGTGGAGAGGTGGTTATTCCTGTGGTGTGTGGGTCAACCACAGAATTGTAATCTATATTAATTAGTATAGGAATGTTGAGGAATGTTTGAATCTCATAATTTAAGTGTTCTACCCAATATTTAACCTAAATTTTTAGCTTAAAAACCATTTCCACTTATTCTAGACTCAGTAGAGATTCAGAACAGCTTTATCTATTCGATTAATATACTAAAATACATGTGTACTATAAGGAGTTGATAATTTCTTAGTTTTAAGAAATCGATATTTAATTTTAAGTATTGATATTTAAAGAGTAGTTTTCTGAAAGGGAGATGTTATGAAATGGTAACTTTTAGATGTAATTAAGTGTCAATTTTTTTTTGGTAATTGAAGATTTATGTAAAATAAACCAAATGTAGACTCATAATTTTCTGATCATGCCCCAGTAATTTTTTTAAAGCTTTTGCTGTGATGGAGCGCAACTGTCATTCGTACAAAACTGTTGAATTGCTGTTTGTTTTCACTTTCAGTTTAAAAATCCCCTTATTATGCTGCTTCTGGCTTCTGCAGTCATCAGTGTTTTAATGCATCAGTTTGATGATGCTGTCAGTATCACTGTGGTAAGAAGAAATATATATTTTTTTAAATCATTGGTTAATCATATAAATTAGGATTGGGTTTTATTTTGGAAAATGAATTATTGAGAAATACTTTAATGTTTTTTCATGTTTTTTGGTTAATATCCAAAGTACTTTTGGTTGCAGTAATCTCAAGTAATGTTCAAGGGTCTTGATTGGTACACATGAGAATTATTTAACCATCTAGTAGTTTCACAGATATGAAATATTTTACAATAATTTTCCAGTTAAATTTTCAATTTATTTTGCTTTCCAGTTAAATATATATTTTGACTAATTATGAACGAAAGCCTCCCGTTTGTGAAATTAAAAATATTACCCAACAGTGCACAACTGCATTTACTATAAAAGATTTTTTTCCTTTCAACTAGGTTATTCTACCTTTCATTGAAAGTTTTCTCATCATTTTTTTTTTTTGCCCCTAGTATAAACTATTGATTAAAGCAAGTATATTATGCTTGAGAACACAGTAAAAATTAATGTAGAACAGCAATTCTCAAATTGTTACTTGAGGACTCCCAGGAATCTCAGACCATTTCAGGGAGCATGTAAGGTCAAAACTTTTCATAATACTAAAACATCATTTGTCTTTTCACTGAGACATTTGCATCAGTGGCACAAAAGCAATGGCGAGTAAAACTGTTAGAGCCTTGACTAGAATAAAAATAATGGCACCAAACTGTACTAGTAGTCATTGTTTTTTTCCCATAGTTTCTCTTAGGAATGTTTTTGATAAAGCAGCAAAAAATTTTGACCCTTGAGTACATGCCTTTTTAATATTCTGTGTGATGAGATGGGAAATATACATAAAGGACTTTTATATATTGAAGTATAGTGGTTGTCTTTAGGAAAGGTGATTGTTGTGAGCTAACCTTTTACTTGAAAGAATGACTGATAGACAAACTGGTTATTAAGACTTGGATAACTGGCATACTTTTTTTGGAAGTGAATAAAATGAGCCTTTCACTTCAAGAATAACAACTAGCAAAATTTGTTGCCATGATAAAATTCAAGCTTTCAAGTGATAATTAGCTTCCCAATATTTAAGTTTTTATTCTAATGAGATCAGAGTGATTTCAATGAATGTAATTTTTTTTTTTTACTGTTATGCAATGTGTCAACATTTGAAAGATTTGAATAAACCAAGTGAAGCAATATTTTCTAAATGACCAGGACAGTTACAGAATTTTTAATGATAAAAGGTTCATTCAAAATGCAAGATTGATCAATGGATTTTAATATGACACATTTTGAAAAGTTCATAGGTATAGTTTTATATTCTACATTGCACATTACTTTTAAATAACTAGCACTTGTCTAATTTTGGTGTAGTAGCTAAGAAGACTATCCACAGTCATCCGAATAAAGCTTTTAAAGTGTTTTTTCCAACAATATCTATATGAGACTGGATTTTCTTCATATACTTCAGCCTAATCAGTGTAAATATGAGAATCCAGCTTTCTATTAAGGTATACATTAAAGTTAAAAAAATTGAAACCTGCCACTTCTCTCACAATTATTTTTCGAGGGGGAGATATGTTTAATGAAAAAATGTTGTATGTGTTAACATGTAATAGGTTTATTATTTTTTAGATGAATTAATAAGTAGAAATGAAAATAGTAATTGAAAAAGCATTTAATATAGTAACTATCAGTAGATATAACCCACAAAAACAAAAACTGATCTTCAGTTTTTTAGCACATTAACGGATCCTAAGATCAAAAAGTTTGAGAAGCTATTATAGGAGAGGCAAGCCACTGTCAGTTTCTTCCCCCACAGGCCTCAAGGCACAGTGATTTCTTTCCCAGCTGATCTCAATGCTTAATGTCTGGTAGCTTGGGACTGCAGATAGTCAGAAAAATAAAATATGATTAACAAATATTTCTGAAGTTATAATGTTTTATTTAAAAGGATATTTCTTTGTTTTGTTTAGGCAATACTGATCGTTGTCACAGTTGCCTTTGTTCAGGTGAGTAGGTAGCCTATTTTGCCAACGTGAAAATGATACTTTAGTTAATTGCTTTAAAAAAATTACGATAGCTTATGGCATTGGGGGATGATAGTGTTGGTCAGAGCAATTTATTATTTGTTTTTGAAATAATTTCAGAAACAACTCTCTGGGAAAGTTTGTGAGACTGACTGGAAAGCTTTGATTAGGTAGTCACATACAGAAAATCTAGTTTTTTTTATTTGACAGTCTTAAAGATAACTGAAGCATGTAGAAACAAAATGCATAGTAACAGAAACATCCAGCAATAGGTTTTAAATTTTTTTTACAATTAAAAAATTGGACCAGAGTTTAAATTCCTCATTCTTCCACAGAAGATATGTTCTGACCTGGATCAGCCTCCTTATTCAACATAGACATTAAAACAGTAAATAAAACATATAAAAGGAACCCTTTTTTTTCACCCATCTCATCCAACCCCGCTTCCATCTGGCAACCATCAAAATGTTCTTTGTACCTAAGAGTTTGTTTTTGTTTTGTTTGTTCATTTATTTTGTTTTTTAGATGCCATATGTAAGTGAAATGATATGGTATTTCTCTTTCTCTGTTGGACTTATATTACTTCGTGTAATACCCTCTAGGTCCATCCATGTTGTCACAAATGGCTAGATTTCATTCTTTTTTATGGTTGAATAATATTTCATTGTATATATGTACCACCTCATCTTTATCCATTCATCTACTTTTGGACACTTAGGTTGTTTCCATATCACGTTTCCATGTTATAAATAATGCTGCAATGAACACAGGGGTGCATATATCTTTTCAAATTAAGTGTTTTGGATTTCATGAGATAAATACCCAAAAGTAGGATTGCTGGATGGTTCTATTTTTTTAATTTTTTGAGGAACCTCCGTACTGTTTTCCATAGTGGCTACACCAATTTACAATCTCCCCAGCAGTGCACGAGGATTCCTTTTTCTCCACATTCTCACTAGCACTTGTTTGTCAATTTATTAATGATAGCCATTCGGACAGGTGTGAGGTGATATCTCATTGTGGTTTTAATTTGCATTTCCCTGATGATTAGTGATGTTGAACATCTTTTCATATATCTGTTGGCCATCTGTATGTCTTCTTTGGAGAAATGTCTATGTTCAAATCTTCTGCCCATTTTTTTAATTGGATTATTTGCTTTTTGTTGTTAAGGTGAGTTCCTTATGTGTTTTAGATACTAACCCGTTATTGGATGTATTATTAGCAAATATCCTCTTTCATTCAGTAGGTTGTCATTTCATTTTATTGATGGTTGCCAGTTATAAAAAGTCCTGGGGATGCAAAGTACGACATAGGAAATATAGTCAATAATATTGCAATAATTACATATGGTGTCAGATGGGTATTAGACTTATTAGGGTGATTGATCACTTCATGTGTTATATAAATGTCTAATCACTATGTTGTACACCTGAAACTAATATAATTCAAATATAAATGAAAACAATTTTAAATTAATATACGTAATATGGAAATCATATCAGGATTTTTATTGACAAGTATAGGCATAAATAAAAACATCGACTGTTTTATGTTTGTTTCAATATCAAATTCTGTAGATTTTATTGATAAGTCTTATTAGCTAAAAGTTCTAAAGCATAAATAGAAGGATTATTCTAGTTGAGGGGAATGTAATATGATCCTGAAGTTCATGTTGTTTTGAGTCTTGAGACTGTATTTTAAGCAATTGTGGTTATTTTCATATCTATGATTTATTCCTTGGGTATTTGCTGTCATTATTCAGGCCTCCTATATTAATATCTAATTTAGTAAGTTTATTAGTTTTATAGAAACCCAGTATAGAGAAACCAGTTGGAATCAGATTATCTACAACAAGTTTGTGAGCTCCATCCGTAGACTGACAGGGGTCCTGTTTCTAGGGAATCAAATTATCTTGCTTAGAACAGACAAGGTTGCCCTAGGGCAAGTGGAGCTTGTTAGTCTAGCAGAGCTCATTCCAGGCTAGGCATCATTCAAGGCACTTGTTCATTTGGCCACGTGGATGGTATGACCCACTAGACCTGTAACTGGAACCCTCTCACATTGTTCGTAATTCTATAGCTATGTGGAGGAACTTTCTTCAGAAGGATTCCTACAATACTTATCACTGTATGGAAGACCTTAGTAGCTTCTTCTTTTGGTAAATAGAGAGCCCTTACCCTCGAAAAAAGAACGTAAAATAGCGATTTTAACAGTCAGTGCAGAATTTTCACAAAGATAATGTTATTTACTTTAAATATAGTGGCTAAAACGATGTGTTAAATATCTTTATGATAGGTTCATTTGATAGAAAATGCAAGGAAGCATCAAAACATTAAGAGCCCAGTTTTAAATTGGTAGATCTTGTTTCTTTTACAGAGCCATTTCCCCAAATGAACCTATGAAACTAACAAAATATTCTATAAACAATAATTAAAAACCCTCCCTAAACAGATCCTATTTAATGTCAGTTGAATTTATCATAATACTCTGTCAAAAAACTATCAAAAATATCAGAAATTGTTAATGCTTTATCATTATTTAGTACCTGTGTTTTAGGAGTCTTTTTTATATTTTTATATTTATGTCTACATAATATTTTATATTATGTCTTTTTCTGTCTCTTTTTAAAATCTCATTCCCCATCCCATTATACACCCTCACAGCCATAAAAATGACTAATTGTTTTATACAGTCATATGGTGATACCACCTTACAATAAATTTAAAATAACTTTTAGGCATTTATTAGAAATGGCTATCAGATTTTGGGTGGTGTGTTATATTAAATGGTCATTTTGATGTGGAGTTATCTTTGTAGTTGTAGGGAGTAAAGGCTAACGAGTCTGAAGAGAGAGTTAAAGATTGGACAGCTTCTAGGATCCAGGATTGTTTAGTGTTTTCTAGCCTTTCATTTTATTTTTGCATAAAACTTCCAAATTCCTTAATATCTTGAGTATGGTTGCAGGAAGAGTATTTCATAATTTTTATATTTATAGATTTACCTTACTCTTAACATTTGTTCTTCTCGGCTAAGTAAAGACCGATTTAGTTCTAGGTTATTCTACACAACTTTGCATTTTTTATTTGAAAAAGTTTTTGGTGGGTGTGAAATTTCGATTGGTACTAACACTGCAGTTATTTCAAAACACTACCCAGCTTTCATTCCCACTGCTCCCTCCTCTCCCCTTTTAACCTTAGATCAAAAGATTGATGTGCTTAGTGCAGACATGAGACAAAGATAGCAATGTTGTTGCGTGAAGCGAGACTGGTCATGGAAATGTGCACCTAAGTAGCATGAGGCGAAGGATGTCTCTGACCCTCAGCTGTGATTATATGGACGGAAGATGGCTGGAGCATAACAGAGTTAGGGCTCCTGAGAATTTCTCCTTTTGCATGATTCAGGGTGATGGAAAAGATATCTATCAAGGCAAGGCCAGCCACATCTCACTTCTTATTTAATATATGTACTTTCCAAGCAATCTTATTCTATAAATCTTTGTAGTTAGCATGGACCTAAATCCTCAGATTTTCCTTGCATTAATTATCTTTGACTTCTTTGGTCATTAAGCACTGAAAGTAAAATTATCTTAATTATGAGGCTCAATGATCTTAACTTTTAATGACCGAAAATTATATACTCTTTGGACATACCAATGAGTTTTCATTATTTTTGTATAACTTGACCTTAGCTTTGCACACTGAATATTAAAATATAAAATTGAGAATACTTAATTATCAAAATTGTTTGGTCACTATAACATTATTTAATAAGAGACAAGCTTTTATGTGAAGGAATATAAGTGCAAATAAAAGACAGGAATTGGGGGAAATTTTTAAATAATGAGCAAGATTTATATTTAAGTCTAACATGGAATATGTTCATAGGAACATACCTTTTTATATTTCTTTATAAATGTTTAATTTAATATTATGTTCTGCTTTTTTAAAATAGGAATATCGTTCAGAAAAATCTCTTGAAGAACTGAGTAAACTTATGCCACCAGAATGTCATTGGTATGATCCTTAATTCTGATATGGATATTTACTCTTAAAAATAGGAATTGAATGTGACTAGTACAATATATGTTGTGTCCTCAGATTTGTCTAAACACAAGGTAGAAACCATTCATGCTTTATTTGGTGTAGTAAGTTTTACTATGAAAACTTTAAAGTTCTGATTTTGAGATTCTCGATACATGCTTTTGTTCAACAGATTTTTGTGTACGTGTGCAACTGTGTTAAACACTGTCGTGGGTACAGTGATACACAGACCAAGATGATTCAGAAGGTTGCTTCAATTTTCACATTTTACGTTTGAACAAGTGGTTAATTTTTTCAATGCTTTTTTTTGTTATCTGAGCATCTTAATTACCAAGAGCACAAAAATAATGCTTTTCTTGGTTCTTATATTTGTTTTAACTCCTTAGAAGTGGTAATAATACAATATATTTTTTCTCAGGCCAGCCCACTGGAAATAATTTTTTTAAATAAGTGGTTTGGCTTTCTTTTTTAGCCATGGTGGTTTCTGTTTCATGTTACAGTGTACGTGAAGGAAAATTGGAACATACACTTGCACGAGACTTGGTT